TATATAGCAAATTTATTCAACATTAAAATCTAAAAAACAAAATCCCATTTATGAAATTAACCACAGCTATTGCTTAAAAGTTTATGATCTTTAGCAGCAATTTCACACAATTTTTGGTGCTGATGGACCCTCAGCTTAATTCCAATAGCTTTTGGCCATTTTTCATTGCAGAGCATCTCAAGCTACATCAGGTTCGATAGGAAACAGTTGAGCAGCTGTTTTGGATCTAATCCACTCCTTTAAGATTCTGGATGTGGTCAATGTCCCAGTCTGAGGGAAAGTGTTCTCTGGAAACAGTTTTCTTCCAGGATGTCTCTTCACATTGCTGTATTTATCATCCCCTTTATTCTGACTAGTGTGCCTTTTCCATCTGTTGAGAAAAATCCCCACCCTTCCACCAATATGCTTCACTATAGATTTGGTATTTGGATGGGGATGAGCCATACCTGGTTTCCTCCATACATTATTCCTGATATTCACACCAGAGTTGAACATTTGTAAAGTCCCTCAATATCAGCTCCATACTACCAATAGTTTCCCTGAGCACACCTTTTTAATTTTCTCTGCTTCCTCTCCTAATCTGACAAGTGATAACATGTGTTATCATTTAAGTGGCTCCCTGAAAATTGGCAAACTTTTGTGGAAAAGCTGGTCTGATTCAGAATGAAGATATCCCTCCACTTTTAATAGTCCAGCGCTTTTTTTTTTCGTATTCTGCATAAAAGTACAGTGGAATCCGCTTATAGTGGTCACGGATATAGTAATCAACCGCTTACAGTGTTCAAAATGCTTGGGAATCATTTGTATACAAATGCTGTTTATATATATATATATATATATATACTGTATATATACTGTCATTAAAGTTGCATGGTACTGTAATAAAATTCAGCAAATGCAGAAGCTATCCATTTCATTTCATTTTTCTCATTGAAAAACCACACAAATGGCATTTAGATGATATTCTGATATGATCGTACGTATCTAAAAGTCCTGAGGAAATAGTTGACAATAAAGTGTGTGAGCACCCTTTGAAAACTTTCGGTCAGGTTCAAGAGTTCATCATAGCACTGAAATACTAGTTTAAGTCACTAATTACATTTATTATTAACTTGGATAATTGCTTACAACATGCTTTTGAAAATAAGGGAACTGCACTACAGTAAGCTGTAAGCTCGTTTAAATCGTACTTTTCCGATAGATTTCAGTTTGTACATTCTCTCTTTCATCCTTTTTGACATTAGAACTGGCTCAGAGTTTATTTGCTTAACTGTGTCTTTTGTAGACAGAGTAAGTTTTTGAGTGTAGTTATACTGCTGTGCTGCAGTTTGCAATTTGATGTAAGGAGGCACTGAACCAGACTTTCTGAAAGAGTTTGATTTTTGCTTAAATGAGAAGTATTTTACCGATATTCTATTTAAGGATATTTTTTTTCTAACTCTGTGGTAAAATATGGATTTCCAGGTATTTCTGTGTTTGGTAGAAGGTGGGATTATGTGTGCTTTGTCAGCTCTTTTCTTTTCTGCTTTCACTTCCTCGTCTTCCCTTTGCAGCCATTCTGTGAATGTTGTTCTCGGTATATGAAAGAGAAATCTTTTTTTTGGGTTAGGATTCAGTCTTGGTTTGACCTGGGAAACATTTATTTCCAGGATAAAAACAATTTACGTTTCTAGACTGAATAGGTGATATGTTCATAGAAAAGACCTCCTGCTGTAGCTTTTATTAACATGTAGGCATTGATTTTGTTGGATTCGTTTTTGAACCCTGTGGCCTGAACGTGGCGGTGCTGCTGATTAACAAAATGTCTGTCTCTGTCAATCAGTCCTTCATCTGTTTCTCATTGTTGTGTGTGTGGTTACCCTCAACCCATTCCACTTTGGTTTCTGCTTGTGGAGGTCATGTAGGGTAAATGCTCGACAGAGAGTTGCACTGCGTAATACTATTACAGTAAAATTAACAGTTACCCTTCAAAATAAGACTCTTCATAGTTTACACCAGCGATATAATTTGATATAACTTTTAGATAAGAATGTTCTACATGATGAGCAGGAAACAAATAATGAAAGGGGATTTTATGTCTTTCAGTACAGCAGCTGCAAAAGTTTTTATTGGTTTATTATTGTGAGGCTTTAAAGTCGTAGTGAAGTCATGTTTAAATTTCAAATCATTCTGGCTTAAAGATGTATATAAATGTACTCTTTATCAGACCATATTGTCTCAAAAGTTAGAAAATTTCTATTTAAAAAAAATCCTGTCTTAAAATCTGTGTTTTTTTGTTTTGTTTTGTTTTTTTTGTTACTTTATGCAGGCCAGTTAGTTATACGTCAGCTTGTACACCTAAATTCTGCCAATAATATATCAACGGTCATCTGTCGATCACATTTTTTCGGTCATAGCATCTTGATTCATATGTCACAGCTAATATAAGCAACAGTTGAAATAAGAATCATTTACTTTACCATTGAGTTACATCCCAGTGTTCACAGGGATGGACGTCTGTTTCTTCGGCAGGCGTAGAGCTAACAGAACTGGCAGCGTTGTGAGGCAATAACTATACCAAACGAAGCTTCTGCCGCCCATGTGTCCTCTTCCACAACATCTTCTTCCCACTTTCCTCCTCTAAATAAAAAATGTATGACGGAGGAGACTCATCCATGACCTCCGACACAAAACTCCTCCTCTTGCATGTTTCCTCTGTCCATAGCGTTCCTCGACAGTGTTGTTGCTAAGTGCTTCTTGGTACCAATGTAATTTCCCATTGGGAACCTACTAGCACTAAGCTTCCTGGATGGGAAGCGAAACGTCTTCAAACTTGGAAACCAAGCCCAGTGGATTGTTTTTTTATTTTTTTGGAATGCCTATGACCTGGATGATTGAGAACCTTCACCAGCACTCGGTGTATACAAAATGACAATAAAAATGTCTAAATCTAATAGGTAGAACCGGCCTAACCACGCTCCACTGGTCATCAACAGCTCAGCTGTAGAGGTGGTCAACAGCACCAAATTTCTGGGG